GCTAGCGTGCCGCGATGGGAAAAAAAGCAATGTTTACAGTCGGGCGTGCGGGCCACCCCCCCCCGCCCCGTCCGAGGGGAGGGGGAGGAAGGCGGGGCGGCGGGGACGGATCGGATCGGAATGGCATTGAGGCGGTCCCCGTGCCTCCGCCCGCCCCGACAAAAGGCGGCCAGGCCATGAGCCTGCAGAAAGCCCAACGCAGCAAACGCGGGGGGGGGGGGGGGCGGCGGCCGGCGCGCAGCGCACGAACGAGCATTGCAAAGTGCACACATGCGTGGAGGCGGGAACGAGGGAGGGAGGCGGCCAGGAGAAGGACGAGGGAGAGGAGCCCACGTTGCCGTGCGACCTGGCTTCCCTGGGGGCCGTTCTGGGGGACCTCCTCAGAAGCCCAGCGCGGGGCCCCAACAGTGAGGCGGCGGGAACGGCGGAGGGAGGCGGCGAGGAGGAGGACGAGGAAGAGGGCGGGGAGGGCTCTTGATCGCTCCTCCCCCGATGGTTTTCCGGAGAGCGCCCCGGGCCTCGGGCGGCCCCTCTAGGAAGGCTTCGGGCATCCCCGGGACGCCCGTGACGCGGAGAGGAGCCCACGTTGCGGTGCGACCTGGCTTCCCAGAGGCCACTCTGGGGGGCCTTCGAAGGAGCCCAGCGCGGGGCCTCAACAGTGACGACGGCTTCGAGGACGGGAGCCTTCCCGTTGAGAAAGGGGGCCCGGGGAAAGTCTAAAAGTGTCGACGCTGTCACACTCGAGGCCCAAAAAATCGTCCAGGGCATACCGCGTCGCGAATCCCCCTCCCCCGACGGTTTTCCGGAGAGTACCTCGGGCCTCGAGCGGCCCCTCGGGAGGATATCGGGCATCCCCGGGGCGCCCGCGACGAGGCGCAGCGCGGATGGACACCATCCCGGGCCCCGAAGACGTCCCGACAAACATTCGACACAAGTTGTGAACTCCTCCTCCTCCTCCTCCTCCTCCCTCCTCCTCCTCCTCCTCCTCCTCCTCCTCCTCCTCCCCTCCTCCTCTCCTCCTCCTCCTCCTCCTCCTCCTCCTCCTCCTCCTCCTCCGCCGCCCTCCCCCCCAGGTAGGGCTGCGCCTCGGGGCGGCGGCCTGCCGGCCCCTTTCACTCGCGCGCCGGGCCTCCCCGGCTCGCCGCGCGCCTCCCCGCCGCCCCGGCGCCCCCCCCTTCGGTTCGCCTCCCTGCCGCCAATCGCGCGGCGGAGGCTGCGCTGTTCGGGCCGCGCCCGGGCGCGGGTCCAGAAAGGGCGCGGGGCCCGAGGGGAGGTCGGTGGGCACCAAGGGGGCCCAGGCTGTTCAAGGGTTTCGCGATAGCAGCCCTCCTGTTCCTCCGCCTCCTCCTCCTCCTTCTCCTCCTCCTCCTGAAATAGTCTTTGCTGATGGAACCCTTGGTAGAAATTCCTTATGAAAGAAAGCTGTCTGGAGGAGCTCCATTGGAAAATACTCAAAGAACCCTTGGTCAGGAGATCCGCATTGAAGGGATATCTTTACTAACGTATTCCTTGCTAGAGGAGTACTCACTGAAGGAATCACTACTAAGGAAGAGCCACCAGAGAAGCCATCCTAAGGAACCCTTATTCAAGGATCCCTTACTGAATGACTCCTTGCGCAAGGAGCCCTTAATGGAGGAAGCAGTACTCAGGAATCCCTGCTGAAAAAGTCATTGAGAAGGAACCTTCACGTGCAGTGCCCTTGGTTCGGGTTGGTTTTCCAATGGTTCCCGGCGTTCCAGCCTTCAGCGTAAGAAATCATGTTGGAATTCATTGCGGGGAGATCTCTCTTGGGAGGGAACTCTTCAATTTGGATTCCTCGGGAGGGAATCCTTGCTAAAAACTCGCTCGGTGGCCACTCCTCAAAAGGGATTCATTCGCAAGGGTCCCTTAAGAAGAAGACATGTTGCCAGGATACCTGTAGCCATCATCCCATTGATAAGAATTTGTTTCCGAATTTCGTCATCGATAGCTCCTCCGGAAGGAGAATTCAGTAAGTGCTCCTTCGCACAAAATTCTTTGGTAGGGATTCATTGAACGAGGCTTCTTTTGGAAGGGATTACATGTCGCTTCCCCCTTCCCTCCGACCTCCCTCCTTCCATCCTCTCTCTGGGGAGGGCGGGTGGGTCGGGGGAAGGCTCCAGGCTCAGAAAAAAAACGGTCCGGTTTCTCTCGCAACAGAAGCAGTGGATCCACTGGCACCGTTTTTTTCCCAGTGAGCGCTCGCTCCGCAAGGGGTCCCTGCGGAATTTGAATGAGTAGGCTTAAGTCGGGCCTGTCCCCCTACAGCGGGATCTTCGACGAAAAAAAAAAAATCCAAAACATGAACAATTAGTCTGGGGACTTTTTTGTTGAGTATGTTTTGACCTTTTTGGTGTGTGTTTGGGGTATTTTTTATTCTTCGCCGAAAATCCCCCTGTAGGGGGACACGCCCGACCTAAGAGTAGGCAAAGGTGCGGCGCCGAGTTCGGCAGGCGGCCAGGTTCCCCGGCCCCCTCGTTCTGGGCCGAGTCGCGGTGGGCGGCCAAGGTCCCGGGCCTGGCGGTCCGAGCGCCGTGAGGTTCCCGGGCCCGCGGATCTTCCGTGGCGGCCGAGTGCCCAGGTGTTTGTGCCCACGGTCCTTGGCATCGCTCGGACGTCTGTTTTTTTTCTCGGCGGCGGCCCTCGAGGACCATCCTGGATCATTTGGCGGAAAAAAAAACGCACGACATCGAAACATACACGAGGAATGGACGTCCGAGCGATGGCAAGGGTCAAGAGGATAACGTAGATAGCAAGTAGTGGAGAGCACGCGTCAGGTAGTAGAGAGCAAGGGTGCGGAGCGACATCATTGCGCGTCGCGTCTTCACATGTCATGTGTATATGTACAGCACAGAAGAGAGAGCCAAGCGAGTTGATGGTCTCATCGCTTGTCGAATTGGCACGAACGAAATATGAATGAACGAATGAATGAAATTAGAGAAAGGGAGAGAGAGGGAGAGAAATGAAATTAGAGAGAGTGACAGAGGGACACAAATAGTGAGAAACTAGGGGGAGACTAACACACATATATAGATATGTGCATACACATGTTGGCAAACATCGAGAGAAAAAAGAGGTGCGAAAAAAGAGTAGTTCCCTCATCAGCGCTCGCATTGAAGAGACCAGATTGGATACTGAAAGGGTAGGCGAAAGTGGTGGGGCCGATTTCGTAAGGCGGCGGGGTCCCAAATTTCGCGGTGTTGGGCTCCAGGCTGATTTCGGTGGGCGTCTGATCTCCCAGGTTCCTGCTTCCCGGCCCAGGGTTCATGGCACGGGGGGGGGGTCAATGTCTCGAGTTGCGACAAGGGTCAGAATGGGAGTACATATCGTAGAGCGTGGAGAAAATATATGAAAGAGCAGGAGTTACAATTGAACAGAGAGGATATACAGTAGAGGTTTGGGGGCAGGGTAGATCGACCCCTGAGCGTATTCAGAATAAGCATGCCAGTAGCACATAACGCAGAGAGACAGAGAAGAAGAGACGGAGTAGAGAGCGATAGAAGGTCGAGGAGGAGGACGAGGATAGCAGAGAGGGTCGAGGAGCAGGAGGGGCAGCAGCAGGGGGTTGGGATGCTTTGGGGCCCTTTAGGGCTTCGGGGGATCTCCAGAGGCCGCTGGGGACCCAGCCTTCGGGGACGCGGGCGGATGAGGACTGCAGAAGTTTGGAACGGCACGAACATCAACAAAACGAACAACAAAACAACAAAACGAACAACAAAACGAAGATCAAAACGAACCACAAAACATACCAAAAACTGAAGACCTGCTTCTGAGGCGTGCCTGCCGCCAGCTGCCGCGTTGGGTGCTCCTGCCCTGAGCGCCCAATCGGGGAGGAGGGATTGGAAAGGAGAGGGAGGCAGATGAGGAGGGAGAAGGGAGGGAGAGGAGAGGGAGAGGGGGGGGAACATGAGGGGGGGAGTGGGGGGGTGGAGGGGGGAGGCAGCGGGGAAGAACGGGGCGAGGAAAGGAGAGGGGGGGATAAGGGAATGGGGGAGAAGGGGGGGAGGATAAGAAGGGGGAAGGGAGGACCCTCGGAGTTTCTGGAGTCGGCGATGAGGTGTCACGAGACCGCCGAGGTGCAGGTGGAACTGTCAGTTTTGAGGTCTTCGCCCCCTTGCCAATGCCTCCTCGCCACCTTCTTACCTACTTGCTTGCACGGGTCACACTCCTTGAAAGGGGGATGGGGGATGGGACGGAGTCGGGGAGGGGGATAAAAAGTGTATATGGGCAGGGGGAGTTCGAGGATACATGGGAAAGAGCAGTCAGCAGGGACGCGTCCTCCGTTCCCCCCCTTTCCACTCGCTCCCGTCGCTCCCCTCTCCTACCAGTCTTGCCCACCCCACCACTTCTCCATCTTCCCCTCAGCTCTCTCCTCGTCCTTCCCTCCAAACCCCCCTCCCCCCCGATCCCTCCCTCTCCTCCCTCCGCTTGCCACTCTGCCGTCGCCCCCCCTTCCCCACACCTCCCCCTCCCTTCCCCCTTCCCCATCCTTGCCAAGGCCTCCTCCCTCCCCTTCCCTTCACCTCCCCCCTCCCTCACCCGTCCCTTCCCCACCCGATCCCTTCACTCCCCCCCTCCGTCTCTCCTTCCCCTTGTCCACCCCCCCCCCTTCACTGCACCCCTCCGCTGCCTGAGGCCACCCGTGGGCGGCGCGAAGATGACCGCGCTGCGCGGCTCGGGCCAGAGGCACGCCACCGCGCGGCACGAGGCGCGGTCACGCCCGCCACGCGGTGTAGCGCGCGCGCGCGCGGCTCCGCGGGGCAGCGGCAGCCCAGGCGCTACAGCGGCAGTGCCGCGAGGCGTGGCCGCTCCCCTGGCGCCCCTCGCGCGGAACGGGGCGCGCGAGGCCGGAGGGCCTGTGGGAAAGCGCGCCCCGCGTCCCGAGAGGCGCCCGAGCGTGTCGTCGCGCAGCGGTCCCGCGACCGTCGCCACCGCTGCGGCGCCGCGGCGGCCGCGGCCCGCGCTGCCGCCCGCCCTCCCGC